GTAGGAAATGGGCTATGTGAGAACACTACAATCCACAGGCTGCTCTTCAGATGATTTTCCAAAATTAATTAATCTCATTCACATCCTTCCACAAGAGAGCTAAGGAAGCACTATTACCACTTCACACTGGGATAAGCAGGTTGGCTTTTGAGTTCTTCATTAGGGCTGCACTTGTTCTCCGACTACCATCATATTTAGGCAATACCAAAAGTGGTACAACCCAAATTGTGATCACAGTCTCTTTAGAGCACATTAACAAAAATGACATGACAAAATTCAGCTGCTGATTTGCCCAGACTTGTGATAATTTAGCAACAGAGTAAAAATACCTGTGCTGGTGATGACTTCACCACTTCCCCACCACGTCATGCACATGATGCAAATTAGAACTAGTAATGCCTATGGGAACTACATATCAAATAATAAATGTCACGTTCAGGGGAGATTTTCCCCCTAAAGAAGCCAAAGGTTGTTCCTTGCTTGGTGTTTGTTACCAAGAAGAAAAAAACCCAAGTCTTCTATTACTAAAGAATGTAACAGAAAGGTGCCTTCCATATCTGCAGGGTGCCACCTGCCCTGTCCTTCCCTCTGGAGTCCGTTCCTCACTTCATCCGTGCCCTGCCATATTCCACCTGCAGAAACCCTCTTTCCTCTTTCTCTGCTACCTCCAGGACATCACTCACTGCTCTTAGCTTATTCTCCCCAGTGACACTTCACATCCTCTGAGAAGCACGCCTTGCTGTTGGCACAGCTTCTCAACTCCAGCAGAAAATGCCTGTGCATCCTCTATACCAGCACTTTCCCTCTTTCTCCCAGTGGGGAAGTGGGGATCAGGGAGTGGGTGCTGAGCCCAGATTCATGGGTGCATCCCTGGCCAGGGATGCTGATGCTTGCTCCCAGTGGGTGCCTCTCCGGAGCATGTGGTGTGTACCAAGTTCCACCTTGTGGTCACACTGAGAACGGGCTTCTCCAGCGGCAAACCTCACATTGGCTTTTCTGGCCCTCTCCCTTTCCTGAATGCTTGAGAGGTCCAGCTGAGCTGGGGCAGAAACTAAATAGATTAAACCTTAAAAATACATACAGGAGGAATTCTCCCAAGTTTTGTGTTGTGTTGCCCTCCAGATCCCTGACTAAAGCCTCCCTCTGCCTGCCCACTGGCCAGGAGCCGTGTGATGGGATCAGCACTGCCCAGCATTTCTCAGCCCCACTTTCTCTCTGGATGTCTCACCCTGTCTGAACGGTCTCTGGCAGGAGAATGGTCCCTCCTCCAGCTCTGACAAGTCCATCCTTCCCCAAAACAGGCTGGTTATATCCACAGCACCCACTGAGAAGAGCTGCAAGCCCATCACCCAGACCATGCCATCTGCCAGCTTGCTGTGGCTCAAAACCAGGCTGGGGAATGTGCTGGAAATTAAACAGTGCAGAGCCCTGGCCCTGCTTGGTGTAAACAAAGCCAGGCTGCCTGCTCAGACATTTCACAGACAGACAAATCAAGACTTTTATTTGTGAAAACCTTCATACATCTTCCTGCCAGTCCAGGTCCCTCCCAGGGAGCTTGGATCAGTGCAGGGAACAAGCTGTGACCCATCAAAAGCTACTGCCCTGAGCTCTTGATGAAATCCAGGTAAACACTCAGCTAAAGCTCATCGTGCTTGGGAACCCAAAACCAGACTGAAGGTTTGGTTTGCTGCTTCCACTGGTCCCTTCATCACAGTGCACACAGAGATCTGGCTGCAAAGAAAGTGTAAAAAAAAATACTGGCTTGCAATAAATTACAGCTTTTCCAGTAGCTGGTGTGGAAAGAAAGTAATTGAAAAGAAGGGTATCAACTTGATGGATAAGACCAGGATCAGCAGCCAAGAGCACTTGAGCAGCTCAACTGCCCAACTCCCAAGTCACATTTCTGGGAACATGCTGATCAAAATGTTCTCTTCATAAACCCAAAGACAGCTGTAGGTGGCTCCCAGCCTCATTTTCTAAAGGCCACTTAACAGCTTTTCTCCACATTTTCTTCAGGAGCTGAAATTTCTTTAATAGACAAAACACAGGTCATTCTCAACGTTCTGCAGCAGGGCAAAATTTCTGCAATAATTAAATTGCACAACTGAATTATGCAAAACTAGGGTATTCCCCCCCCCCCAAAAAAAAAAAAAAAAAAATTTATCTGGATTTTCTGTAACTCTAGCCAAAACCAGCCATTGAGACTTGTGTGGTACCTCAATACAGGGCTTTAAAATGTACCATGTGAAGGAAAGCCTGAGGTGTGAGAATTTCCCCACACAGTGTTTAGGCTGGCTCGTTTAAGGTGTGCAAGTATTTTAGTTTAGAAGAAACTGTGTCAAAATCTTCTCTGCCTGCACAAAGGAAAAAAAGAAACCTCTATGTCTAAGCAAGGTCTGCAGCCTTCTGGTCTGGTGGCTGGGCTGAGTGAGGACTGAGAACTTCCACCCACGGGAAGCACCTCAGAGACACATGGCTGAGGGTCAGTCTGCAGGATTTAATTATCTACAATGCCAACAAGGAGCCAGGAGAAGACAGGATAAATCCTCCTGCCTAGATCCCTATAAGCCTAAAATTTCTTAGAGATACTGGCAGTGACCCAGCTGAATCCCACCCTGCGTGATCACCAAGTGTTTATCTGCAGCTTTCCTTCCAAAATACCTTTTTAAATTGAAGTCCCTGTACAGGAACATCAATTTTGCTCCCGAATCATTGACACCTTTGGCTCCCAGTACTGCCTATCCAGACAGCTGAGCTTCCATTCCTACAGAAACCATCTCTTCCCCATACAGATCTCTCTTGCTTTTCCCTGTATCCTTTCATCTCTGCTACCTGCAGCACTTTTCCAAGTGGCTCCATTTCCCTCTTCTTTCTTTCTTTCTCATTCCCCATTAAAATCTGTTTTTCCTCAAGCATCCTCTGGCCCTGTCTTAGCTACTTTTGGGCCTGACAGGGATTTACACACTGGCAACAATCTCAGAACCAACTGTGTGCTTTAGTTTTACCAAAAGACATTGCTCAGGTGGAAAATTTAGCAGCTTTTGTGTCAAAATAAAAATGACCCAAAGTGAATTTTACTTGTCCTTTCTGAGATAGGGACGTGTTGACTGTTTAATGTAATGGGATGTGTCAGTATCCCAAATTCCCCTGGACTATGAGGAACTACAGCTCACAAAACTCCCATGTGGTGGATCAAGCACAACCTGAATCAAAGGTGTGTGCTGGGAGCATTTTGTTGCTAGGAAAGGAGATCAAAGTCACCAACTGCTCCAGAGCAGATCCCAGCTGATCCCAAGCTGCATTACCTCCTAGCCTGAAGTGCAGAAGGAGCCTCCTCAGTGCTCCCAGCTCACAAGGGCGGGTGGAGATGATTCATTGAGAAATTTCAATATAGATGTTAATCCTGAGGACTTGCTGGCAGAAAAAACAAGGAAATGGCCTGTCTTGTAGGATTTTACAAGCTGATGCTCCCCTTGGACTGTGGCAGAGGGCATTCCCCTCACAATGTACGCAATGTTTCGGGTGAAAAGTCAGTGTATAAAAATAAGGCATAGTACAAATTAGCTATTATACAATGTGTGAGCACAAGGACTGTCAGTTCAGAAACAAACCAACTTCATGAGGCAGGAGAAAGAGTATTAATAGCCCACATTAATTCTGACATGGTAAATACAGTTGTTGTTCTATGTATTTTGGAGGGGAAAAAAGAGAGGACCTGAAAGAAAGAACCTGAGTTTCAACATAGAGCCAGGGACAAAGTATATCCACAACTCACAGTATCAGAACTTTCTGACAAACTATCTGATCCTGCTAAGAATTCCACATGTGAACAACTCCTCTTGTCTAAGTAGTCTGGCATTTGGAGTGACCTTGGCATTTGTGTATATGTGTGTTATGTGTCAAGGAATTTCAATAAACACTTTTTAAAATTCTTGGCTCATTCAACATTTGTTCATTTTTCTGCTTCATACAAAACAGTAGATCACCAGCCACTGAATTTTTCTTGGTTCCTAAACCCAGAGGACTAAATAATATTCACTGAAAAATAACCCACAGGCCAAAATGGGAAATGTTTTAACAGTTCCAGATGTGTTTCTTAGCTTTCTTTCCCCAGTGGCTGCATAATGAATGAGATACCTACAAAAAGTATAGCATTAACCTCTGGTTCACCCTCCTGTCATATTTCTACCATCTGGGAAAATCAGAGTGGAGATTTCATCAGCCTGGGGGAGTCTTTTCACATTTCTGCTGGTAACACTACAATGATTATGTTCATGGGTAATCACTTATTGCTCTATCAGTTCATTTTTGTTTATAGCTTATTTGTAGTAAGAAAGCACCCATCTCATGAAATAAAATAAATACTGGAGGCTTTTACCATTTCTTGTGGATCAAAATATTCCATTTCAACCGGCAGCTGTCACAGCCCTGAGTTGTTTCTGCTCCTCAAAGTAAATACAACGAAGTGGTAACAAAGCAGTACATAAAGTCAGGTGAGGGAATAAGGGAGGGATAGTTTATTACTCTATTAGACAAGCCTCCTAGGCTTGGCACCATCAAAACTAATCCTAAATCTCACATGCTGTAAGGGCAGAGAGAGCTTCTTTTTTTAGAAACATTACTTATTTTGTACTTAATACTTGCAGTGTCTCGGGGACAGCCCCTGAGCCCAGGTGTTTATCCAGGCTCTGCTGGCTCCACCAGAGCCCGCAGAGTTTATTCAGCAGAGCACCCATCCCACTCTCAGTTTCCCATAAAGGGGAGGAGATCTGGATTCCACTTTTCTAAACTTGCAGATGCTTCCCCAGCCAAGGCACCCTTCTTACCAACCAGAGGAAAAACCCCTCCTCTCTCCCTCCAACAGCGCTGACTTACAGCCCCATTACATCCAGATGAGAGAGAATGGGGAAGTGGAGAAGGGAGGAGAAGAGAGGAGGGAAAAACAAAGCTCTTGGACAAGATAAGAGAGCTGAAGCACAAGAACACTTCCCCAGACTTACTGTTGCAGGCGAGGAATGTGCCATTGGATGCCATGGCTGCAGAAGGAGCCAGCAGCAGCAGCAGCTGCGCCCCGGAGTCAGCGCTGCTGCGGGGCGGCGGCCCGAGCCGCCGGACTCGCCCTGCTCCCCGCCGGCAGCTCCCTCGGCAGGGGCTGCTCCGTGCCCTTGGCTGCAATCGCCTCCTCGCTGTGACTCCTCATTTATCTCTCCCGCAGCCGCACGCCGCCGCCTGCCCCGCGCCCCGGCCGCGGCCAGCGCCGCTCCGGCTCTGGCTCCTCCCCGCTCGCTTCTGGCCCGGCCTCCGCCCGGCGATGCTCCTTTTCCTGTGCTTGCCACTTCTGCGTGCTCTGAATGCATCCTCGGTGGTCCGCAAATCAAGGGTCTTCAGCAGGTGCCACAGGTCAGAGTGTGGCCTTTGTCACTTTTATGTGACTCTTTTCACAAGTTAAAAAAAAAAAAAGAAAAACAACAACAAAAAAAACCCAGTCAGAACTTGCCAGTGTAGAAATAGAAACTGTAACCACAAACGCTCGCAAAGGCATGAGTTTAGGGCAGAAAAAAGTCTAGCTTTGCATTTGAGACAGCGAGACAGAAAAAACTGCACTGTCCTGAGGCTTTTAGTGAGTGGAACTGATTTCTTCGTGGAACTGATTTCTTCCACTCTGTTCCCTCCTCCTGAATTAGTTATCTTTGAAGGGTAGAAAGATGTTGATGGCAAAGAGGGAGAGGAAAAGGAAAGGAAGCCAGTGTGGGAAAATAAAGTTACTCAAATGTTTTTTAGCAATTGGTTTGTTATTTTTCATGTATGTTTCTGGTTATTTAGGTTATCCTGATGCAAACACTTGATGGAGTTATTGGCAGATTCAAAGCCCTCTCTCCTCAGCAGCTCCACTGACAGAAGAGAGAAGTCTCCTCCTGATGGTGACAGATCTAGAAAACATGTGTTGAAAAATACTTTAGGACAGTTTGTCCCTCCCTGCCAGGAACTGGGCTGCTCCTCTGAGAAACCAGACCTTGCTCTCAAAGAGTTTTACAGCCCACAAATACAAGGCTGCTGCCACCACCCAAGGAAAACAGCCCTAATATAGCAAAACTCCTCATGCTAGGACAAAATTAACAAAGCCAAACAAGTGGAGCAATAAAAGAACAGAGATTTCACCCCATGACTCCTCCCAAGTCCACTCTTCTACCTCACAGTCACCAGCATGGCATGGGGAGGGCTCATCTCCTGCTAGACACTTTCCAAAGGACCCAGGAAGGAACATTCCTTTTTTTTAAACCCACAGACATTGATTCAGATGGGCCAAACAGGCAGCTGCTGGCAGGCAGGATAGCAGCTGGAAGCACCCAGAAGATTCCTAGTAGGGCTCTAAAAGTCTCAAAGCAGGGGGATTTTGGGAAGACATTTCACAACCTGTCACCCTTTCAGCTGATGGGGAAGAGTACTGGAGGGAGTGTACAGGAAGGCTGCTGGAGGAGCCAGCCAGACTGGAAACTCCAGTAAAGCTGAGGGCATTATGGTTTTCACAATAGAGGAAAAGAAGAGAATGGCAGCTCGAAAATGGTGACACAAAATGGCATTGTAGTAACTCCTTCCCTGTTCCCTGTGTCACACCCCACTGTGCCCACACACTGCCTGGCACAAGTCCTCATTAGAGGTGGACTGGCCAGTGTCCCTGTGCCCTCTGTGGCAAAGGGAGCACTGTAAGAGAGCTCCAGCACTCCCAGAAATGACATGGACCATCTTGTGGTTAGAACCTCTCACAGCAGCATGGGGTACAATGGCACCATCACTGCTGTGAACACAGCCATTATTACCTCAGGCTGGATAGGGCTTCACCAAGAAAACACAACTGAGCTGCTCTGCCATCATCCTTTGAGACCTGAAGACCATCCCCTGCATTTACTCCTTCATGAGAGCCCACTGTATCTCTATCTTCTTGCCATGCTGCTTTTTCCATGGTCATAGCCGAAGTAGAAGCTGGAACCATAGAATCACTCAGGGTGGACAACACCTCCCAAGATCATCAAGTTCAGCATTAACCCAGTACCACCATGCTCACCACTAAACCATATCCCCAGGTGCCAAATCCAAATGATGCCTGACAGGAGGTCTCACAAAACCTTGTCGTACTTTTCACTTTTTGCAGTTCCATTTACTCTCCCTGCTTCTGTGCACATCCAGAAGCATCATCACTTGCTGGGAGCACCTGGGGACCTTTCTGCCACCCTAAGTCATAACCATCTCTAAATCCTTGATGGCCTGGACATGTGTGTGTACTCAGAGCAAGCCAGGCAGTAACACACAGTCTTGCATTTCTTGCATTCATCAGAAAGTCCAGCAGTCACCATCAGAGTGCTGATATGCTGCAGTAGACATCCAGAACTGGAGATTTCACAGCACAGGTCTCATCACAGCTTTGTTTCAGAAGGCTACAGTCCTTTGAGTTGTATTTCTGCATGTGCTTGATTTCCCTTTCTTTTGCATTGCTGAAAACAATATACATCCAGAATAACAATAAAACCAAAGGGATGTGAGCTTCTGTGAGCTGCAGAAATCCTACTAATAAAAAATGTGCTAGGAATAATATAGTAATTTAAGAATGTCATATGAATATACATTTTTTCTTGTCCACACCATAACTACTGTGCTCACAGAGAAGTGAAGTCAAGGCATTTCTAGGCCTGGAGAAGGGCTGGGAGTTGGCACTGCCTTCCCAAAGCAAAGCTGCCACCTTTGCATCTTTGCTTTTGGGAAAAATACAAGGTCAGAGCTGTGATATTTTACTGAGGGACAAGACCTAAAGCCAGGACACATCTTGACTATCCCCTCTGCTCTCCAGCCACAGAGGTGAGGCTGGAAGGAGTTAAATGTCAGGCAGGCTGGGTGAGGAGCCTCTGTAACACCCTCCAACACAGATGACCCTATGCAAAGGTGCCAGGATTCTCAGCTGAACTGGATCCCTGAAAAGTCAAAGAGCTCTCCTATTTCTCTCACTCCTGCACCCTTTTGCATTCTCCTCCTTTGTTTTGCACACACAGCCTAGCCCAGGCAGCAAAGAGCAGTTGCAGAGCTCAGTGGCAAAAATGTTTGCAGGGTTCAATTCCATGGCGAACCACAAATCACAGCAAAACTAAAGCAAAGCAGTTTACCTGTCTCCACTCTGAAAGCATGACTCAAGTGTTGACTTAATTGCACACAGTGGAAGGAGCAGCTTTTCATCTCTGAGGAATGCTACACCGCCCCAACACCGAGTGTTTCCAATGGAGAAGATGCCTCCTGGCTCCCTCTGCCCTTCAGAATCTCACACACACCCTCCTCACCCCACTGAAATGTTCCCAGCCACCTCTCCAAAGGATAACAGCAAAGGTCTTTTTTTTGTTTTGCATAAAGGACTCAGGATTCCTGCCACATTTACACAGTGGTTACACAGCATTTGGGGGTTACACGGCCAGCACGGAGCTTTGGCAGCCACATGGGGCTGTTTTTGTCAGCAGGAGAATTACAAAAGCCAACACAAAAGAAAATGTCATATTAAATAGAGTTCATGTAAATGCAGAAGTGGGACAGGAATTATCAAACACTTTACTTATGGTCTGGCTGTTCACTGAAGTGGGGTTTTTATACCTTTTCCCAGTCTGTTTACTGGTTTAGATGGGGTGTGCTACTATCCCCAGATCATCAGACCTCTCTAAATCCTACTCTCACATAAATAGATTAACAGAATCACAGAGTAGTTTGGGTTGGAAGAGACCTTAAAGCTCATCTTGTTCCAACCCCTGGTCATGGGCAGGGACACCTTCCACTAGGCTAAATAAATAAGTCTATAGCTGATGGACAGCCACATATCAAACTGCCAGTTGCCTTTTACATTTTGGGAACTGCCAGAACTCTCACAAAAGAGCCTGAACATCCCTGTGGGAGGCCAGCTCCAGTGCCCCAGTGACTCACCTGCCACAGAGGCAATCATTACTCTTTGGTTATCAGGCCTTTCATTAGGTGGACAGCTCTGTTGCTAACACTTCCCTGCCCGTGCAAGACCTGGGGTTCCTAGGACTGATCCTGCCCCTGAGTCTGCTCCACCCAATATTTACCTACCTGCAAATTTTCCCAGCACGCCCAGGTTTGCAGCAGCCGCAGGTCCCTCACTTACAAGGCACACATAGAGCTGTGGGGAAGAGCAGCATCGTGGATCTGCAGGAGCTGGTGGAGATCAGCACCTTTGGAAATCAGCTTACCTTAGGAAATAAACGGAAAAAAACTCATGAATGGGATTTATGACTGTAAGAACAGTGAGATTATTTGGTTTATGGACAAGTCGCTGGACAGGTTAATTCACTGCAGTTTATAAACTAAGCTGGAATGGAATTAACACCAGAATCATGCAGCTCAGGGAATGGGAAGGGCAGCCAGACACTTTGTTTATCACCATGGACTGCTGTGCCAAAGTACCTTCAGAGTAAACTATATTGATGTATACATCTGCATTTAAACCATTTATTGCAGCAGTTACTCCCATTTAGGAGCTGTACATGGCCACAGGAAAAGGAAGCAACAGATGCTGGGATGTGCAAAGCTAAACCTGCTGCTGGCAGAATCCTGTATGAGTCCCATTAAAATTAATGAGGTATTTCTGCTCGAGCAGAAGATAAATTTGGCTTGCTAAGCCAGAAATACGCCTACCTGATTTACTTTATCTCAAGTATCTCGAAGGGTTTTCCCTCCACTTAGACTAAGTAATCAAGAGCAGTTCTAACCACCAAATAAAGCAATAAAACAATCAAAGGAGTCATTTATTACTGTATGGTCACAATTAAAGACTTAGAGAGTTGCCAGTTCAACAAATCTCACATTGATTTCAAGCTGAAAAATTATAAGAAAATAGAATTAAAAGCAAGATTATGCATTAGATTTACAAATTAAAGTCCTAGGTTCCCCTGTTTATTCCAAGGAGTTCATTATAACTCTTGGAATTTCAATAGAAAGGAGACAGTTAAATAATTTTACATCAATTTGACAGTGCTTGGTATTTGGACATCTCACCAATTTTGTCTTCAGACTAATTTTGTTAGTTTTAGCTGAATGATTTATTTCACATTTGTTTACCTCATTTCTCCCACTACAGGACATATTTTATGAGTCTCTGAGAGTAATTGTTATGCATATCCATGCTTTAACAAATGTAGTTTTAAGTAGACCCTATTATGTTAAATTCCCTGACTTTAAATATTTTGATTCTGGGAGAATGAAAATGTCTTTACCAGAGAGTTGTACAGAAAAGTACATTTAGTCTAAAACACTTATAGGAAGATTTTCTGGGGGAAGGGGACCCTAGACACTCCTTTTAAAGCTCTGAAAAG